TTCGAACTGAGGCTGAGGTGAACAATCCACAATGGCACAGGAACTGGGAAATCGTACCTCTGTGCTGCTGTTAATTCTGACACTGAAGCCAAGACGTTGCTTTGGTATCTAGGATTTATTTGGGACAGGCTGCCAGAGAACCAGATACATTATGGGATGCAAACAGAGTGCTTGCTTTCTCTTAATGTGGAAAATCCCATGCACAGAATGACCTCTGATACAGCCCTCCCTTCAGATTTTCTTGCTGTCTTGTTTAAATTTGTGTTTTACAGCCAAAGTTTTCAGACACAACAAAAGAATCAGCAAATAATCCAGCTCTTTTCTGTCCCTGGTGCCTCAGTGCTCGTGTAACTGAGTGGAGTGCTGTTAGCCAATCTGCGTATGTAATTTCAGTGTTTTGTGTCACAGGCAATCCCCTTTTTACCACATTAATTGCTGCTCATTTGAAGGCATAATAACCTTCATTTTGTAATGAATGCCTTGACAGTACAGGAGGAAAGCTCATTGTACACTAATGATCTGTTATATGGCTGCTCAGTTTATTATGGTACGTAATGGAAAATAAAATAAAATTAAATATTGTGTGTACTTATCAGCTAATTTAAATACTTAAGCATCTTGGATATTACATCTTTTCGGCTATTGAATATTTGTGTAATCTGCATTAAGAAATAACTCCCTGTAGATTTCTCTTTTTTTTTTTTTCACTAAGCTGGTTTTGCTTGGAAGAAATGTCATTCAGGGATTAAAAATGTAGAATTTATTCAGGAAGGGTAGTTTTGCTTCCTGTCTTTCTTGCCTCTGTTATTTATCTATGCTATGAAAATAACTGAGTCTCCACTGACTCATATTACATTATTTGGAGAGTATTTTTGAGATTCTTGTCAGGAAGATGCATTACAACTGGAAAATATGGTATGTTTATTGCAAGAAAAAGCCTTTGCCAAGCAGGAGAACTGAGTTGGCCTGGTCAGATTTTAACTTGGAGGCAGTTTGGCTGGATTGCAGTGGCCTTTTATATGAAAGAAAAGGATTCTAAGGACTTTGTTATTGGAGTACACTGAATTAAATAAATAAACTTGCCTCAGCCCTCGGGCAGAATTTTGGGGGCTGCACATTCAGCAAGCTGCTCTCAGAGAAGCCTGTCTAGACTCTGAGCATTTTGTGCTGTCTAAAATCTTGTACATAATGCAATAAATCTGAGCATCCCTTGTACAACTTGGTGACCCTTATAAGATTTTGAGATCTTGCTCAGCTTGTCCTGGTGAGGTGCCCAAAGCACCTTCCTCCTGGGCTGGCAGCTAAAGCAGCCGCCCGGGGCAGGGGCAGTGCGGGCAGTGCAAGTGTCCTGACACAGACGTCCCTCCTGTCTCCTCCTCACCCCACTGCTCCCGGCGCTGCTGCGTTGCTCTTAGAGCAGTGCTGGCAGCAGCTTCAGCCCTGCCAGCCTCTCTCCATCAGTCTTCAGTCTGGAGATGCAAGACTTGAACCTTCTCGGTGTAATTGCTGCAGTGCCATCACCTCCTTGGTTTCGCCACGGTGCTGGGATGAATCTGAACGAATAGAACGTCCAGGAGGGAAAAATACTTTTCTCCACTGAAGTGATGGAGCAAGATGGGTGTCAGCATTGGGGCACTTTTCTTGAGTCAGGGGCTATGGTTTGAATAAATGAATGCTCACATGTGGAAGCCAGCTTTCACTAGGAACATTAAAGATCACTTCCATAAATACTGAGATAAACCCCTTTTCTAGGATCTTTTCCTTTTGTTAATATATTTTTCAGAATAAACCACAACATATGTTGTGATTAAGGTGAAATTTCTCTATTTAAAGTTGCTGTTCATCTGTTTTGAATCTGTTCCAGAAAAATATCCTGAGGTTTCTTTCCTCTCCCTTTCCAGGAGTGCTCTCCATATGCAGCTCACTTGTACGACGCTGAGGATCCCTCTACTCCCGTGCGGACAATCCCAGGGCTTTGCCAAGATTACTGCGTGCAAGTCTGGCAAAAATGCAGGTCCATTTTCCAGTATCTCTCTACAGACAAAGAGTTAATCGCCCTGGAGCACAACATGGCCAAGTTCTGCCGCTACCTGTCCTTGGAGGATGTAGACTACTGCTTCCCTCATCTCCTGGCTAACGAGAATCTCAACCAAAACCTGGGCTTCGTGACCGCCAACGCGGAGGGCTGTCTCCAGCTCTGCCTGGAGGAGGTGGCCAACGGGCTGCGCAACCCCGTTGCGATGGTGCACGCCAACGACGGCACCCACCGCTTCTTCGTTGCCGAGCAGGTTGGCCTGGTGTGGACCTACCTCCCCGACCGATCGCGGCTCGAAAAGCCGTTTCTGAACATCAGCGAAGCCGTGCTCACCTCACCTTGGGAAGGAGACGAGAGAGGTTTTCTAGGTATTGTCTTCCATCCTAAATTCAAATTTAATGGTAAAGTGTATGTCTACTATTCAGTTGAAGTTCGTTATGAAGAGAGAATCCGAATCAGTGAGTTCAGAATTTCTCCTGCTGACATGAATACTTTGGACCATGGTTCTGAAAGGTATTGTACACATGTTTATCTGACAAATGTATTTAAAATCTCAGAGGACAGCTTGTGCATTTTTCAGGACTACTAGCTACAATGAATGAGATTTACTTGGCTTAATATTGTTTTTATATTCTCAAGTCAGTTCATGTCCATTAGAAGTGCTGCAAAATGCAGGGCAGGATAAAAAAGGACAAAACGCACAGATACACTATGTCTGGAATTCTAAATTTGCAAAGATAGAGTAGAACATCAAAGCTTCATTCTCATAAGGGCAGGTGCTCTGTGTTACAGAGGTTATTATAATAGAGAATATACACATATACACACAGTGCAATACGTATTGCCTATAGGGAGATAAAGATTTTGCTTTATAGAGAAAGGAATCATCCTCATTGCTCTAAAGTGGAGCATCTTTGTAAGGTCTGTATACTAAATCTTTGCTGTTATAACTCTTGCTGCTGCAGGAGATGGACAGTGGAACTGAGGTACGACCTAAGCATTTATGTGCACTTTTTTTGAAATATAGCTTTCCCTGTTTCTAAATTTGTGCTGGTTCTGAGTTAATGAGTCTGATCTTGCAGTTCATCCACAGTAGCATGTATAGATAATTAGAGATTTGTATATGGAGAACCACAAATCCACTCTTCTAAGAGAACTTTGGCTGGTATTAGTTTAAAGATTGTAACTGTGTTACACAGAGTGCATTAAGTGCTTTCCAAAAACTCAGCACTGGATGATTATAACTCGAAAACGCATGTAGCCCGATGACAGAAGGGGGACACTGGTCTATATGGCAATTTTAACAATTTAACGTAAGTGGCCTTGTTGGTGACAGATAAAGAGAACTTTAAGGTGTTCATCAAGAGAGTGAGTGAGGAAGGTAAACCTGTGAATGGGTGGACCTCTGTGCTGCCTTGATGAAAAGTTATTGTGTTCTGCATTTGTAACGTTTCCTATATGTGCTCAACTGAAGCAAAAGCTTGTACAAAAACCCACCCCTGTGGTCGTGTTGTGCTTGTGTAGGCATGGCTCCCACTGACTTCATCGAAGTCCCTCGAGGTCCTTTGGCCTGACCACATGGTTTGCTTGAGCAGGAGGGCCACTGTCTGTGCACCTGCAGGTTTTCACTGAATAGCTTTAGTTTTCTTCAGTCTTCCTTGGGAGGACTCCAGTTTCTGCTCCTTGCGGGATCCTCCCGATGGCTGCAGTCTCTGTGTGCTCTTGCACAGCTGCTTTATTTCAGAAGTGATAGTTTAATAGCAGGGCTCAGAATAATTATGTATTACCAATGTCATTTTTACATTTTGCAATGTTTTTGGAATTGTAACTGCCAGTACTTTTAGAAGGTGACAAACTCTCTGAAGGTGAGGTACTATACGTGATTATAAATAGCTATTTTTACAGATATGAAGAGGCACTGCCAGCGTGAAATCTGGTCCTTTTAAAAGAGCTGGAGTAAAATAAGCTTAATTTGTTATGCCTGGAAATTTTTACTGCATGTATTTGTGGCTTTACTGTTCTATCAAGTTATACCTTTCCACAGTTCACCTTTTCCTCCCTAAGAAAGAGATGCAAGATGAATAAAATAAGCAGATGAAAGTAATAGAGAATTAGATTTCACAGTGAAGGTTAATGTTGTTGATACTGCTTTGAGTAACTTTTGCCAAAATGTTAGGCTGATGATGATGCTTTTAAAAGTTCTTTAAGTTCATAAAGTACTGTATATATAATTCTCCTTTAATCTTTTCTTTTTAAGAATTTAACTGTTATTTAATGTTTGAGAAGTCTTCTGTGTCCTTGAAAGTGCCTGTCCAGATTGTGCCAGATGCTGTACAGATGCATAGATAGACTGCAGGGCTTTTGCTTGTAGCTCCCAATCTGATTTTGAACTGCAATGCCTTTTTCTTTTTTTTGAAGTACAGCAAGGAGGAAGGAAGAGGCACAGGAAAAATAAAATTAAACATCTATCCTGTCATGTGGTTTTCCAGTTTCCTTATTACACAATCTGATGTTCCTGTAATCTAGAAGATATGTTGGAATTCCATAAGATATTGAAATCCGTTATGCCTAAGTAAAATTTCAGTAACAGGGATATTGAGAAAGATGTAGCAGGCTTGATCTGCAGCTATCCACATGTGTCGAGGATGCTATTAGACTAAGGTGTTACTCACCCCTTTGCTTGGGATATGTGCGATTTATGATGCTTTGTTGCTGTTTCTGATTAGGATAATCCTAGAAGTGGAAGAACCAGCTTCCAATCATAACGGAGGAGAGCTGCTCTTTGGAGATGATGGTTATCTCTATATATTCACTGGAGATGGAGGCATGGCTGGGGATCCTTTTGGGACCTTTGGAAACGCCCAGAACAAGTATGAGCCTCTAAAGCTTTATGTGCACCATGTATGTCTCGTGCTGTCTCTCTGCTGGTGCTTGCGCAGGTGTGGGTGCGTGTAGGCCTCCGACGCGACTCCTTCTCCAAAGAGGAGCTTGTGGTAGTGTTTCTTTTCTCCTGCAGGAAACGATAACTCACTGAACCTCTCAGCTTTTTTTTTCTGAGATCTTTTTTTTATTTTCTGGCAAACAGAGGGGTGAGTGAAACAGGAATTGCAGAGCGATCCCCACGTTCACCTCCAAGCGACAAGCTGAGGCCTGCCAGGCATCTGGGCAGGGGAGGTCATTACCATCTGAAGGCTGCTCAGCGGCCCATGTCGAATGAAATGGTCCCCATCCAAGTGCTCGTGCATCAACGTCGGGAGCACAAAACCGCTGGCGCGGTTGGCACGCGCGCCGGCAGCGCGGAGGAGCGAGGGAGCCGCGTGCGGCCCTGTTAGTCCCAGGTTCCTGGCCCTGCTGCGGCGCCCATGCCGGCATGGAGAGCGGCTCCAGCGCGGGGGCACCATCCCCTGGCAGCTGGTGTGAATAGTAAATTAACTTCAGCCCCAGACCTGCCAGCTCCGGCTATTTGCCCATTTTTCTCCCGTGAGTGGTCTTATTCAGGCCAGCAAAGCTGGTCGTGTGCTGGTGTGTGGGAACATTGGCGGGATCAAGACCATCATTTTTTAAGCTGCTTGTGGGAATTGAGCACCCACAGCCTGCTCTGGTTGAGTATCCTGCAAAGCTACCATTAGTGCCAGAGCTCATCCATCTCATCCATCATTCCCTAAGAGCTTCCACAGGGTGGTTGGTTGTTTTTTCTCTGGCATATTGAGAGACTTGTGTTCTCTCCCTTTCTTTTCCAAATGTAGATCCACGTTGTTGGGCAAAGTGTTGCGGATCGATGTGGACAACAACGACCGGGGGCCTCTGTACAGGATCCCCCCGGACAACCCTTTTGTCGACGACCCCAGAGCTCGCCCCGAAGTCTACGCGTACGGCGTGAGGAACATGTGGCGCTGCTCGTTCGATCGGGGCGAGCCCCACACGAAGGAAGGGAAGGGCCGCCTCTTCTGCGGCGACGTGGGACAGAATAAATACGAAGAAATCGACATTGTGGAGAAAGGGAAAAACTACGGCTGGAGGGCCCGGGAAGGATTCAGCTGTTACGATAAAAAGCTTTGCACCAATTCTTCAATAGGTAAATATGCGTTTGGTTTAAATTACCTTCCTCTCCCACTGGGAAATTTTCCACACATACATTTTTAATTTCTGCCTTTGAAGGCTGGCTGCTTGGTTGCAAACATACATTTTAAAGATGTAAATCTATGCAGTCTTCATCTAAAATGGAAGTGGCCTGGAGAAAAATATTAGAAGTCCAAATACTATTACTGTTGAGTTAGGAGAAAAATTAAATGTACTCGATATTGTGCTTGTGGACCATATATGTGTCTTCCTGGTGATCCTGTGATTTGAGAGACAGTTTCATCTTTCTCACCTGAGATAAGATTTCCAGGAGGAGCCAGAGCAGTTTGAAGAATTTGTAATTTTGTTCATAGCCCTGAAGTAGTGTCCTTATTTAAAAGAAAAAAACAATATATAACTGTAAGTTGACCGCCTAATATACACGCTGCTGCTTTACAAGTATCAGCACGTGCAGAATACTTTTCTTTCTTTTAACTAGCCAGAAAGAAAAGCACTATTTTTTTTCTTAACTTTTTAAACTTGGAGTCAGTGTATTTGACATCTCTCTGGACTCTGGTGCACATGCTAAGGAAGAGCTGGTTGTGTTGCAAGCTCTGATTTGGTCCACGTCTGCAGTATCCCCACGCAGACTTGGGGAAGCCAATGAACTGGCCCTGATTTGCACTGGGATTCTGATTTTTCATTTCTCTCCTAAGTAAGTGAAGTGGTAATGATTGGAGGATTTCATTTAAAAAGTTGAGAGTGCAGAGCAGATTTTTTGTACTTCTTTTGCTGAAGCAATTCTCAGAGAGCCCCTTGGAAGCTCTCCTGCCTCCTTTAGCCTTTGTGGTAAGCACCTTGCTGAGCTCTCCAGGGTTTCGGGACGCTTGCTGAGGCTGTCAGAGAGCCTCTTATCAGAACAGTGAAGTGTCACAGCCCCAGAGTGTCACAGCCCATGTAAAGAGAGAAAGCACCCGCTTTAGCTGACGTGCCTGGTGCAGGAAGCCTCATGGCCATGGGCTGGCATTGACGTGGGGCAAGTAGCCCTGAACGTAGTCAGGACGTGACCGAATGGACGCACATTGAGCATCATGCCTGGACATTGGAAATGCAGGGCAGGGAGAAACACCATGAGGAAGGAGTGGGCTGAGCACTGGCAGGAGGTACGTGTGTCCCCAGGGGGAACGGGGAGCGAGGACGCACCCAGGAAGGACCTCAGAGAGCGTCAAAATGAGGGCAGCTCCCTCTGTTTTCCCACTCCCTTGTGTTTTAGCTTGCATTTTTCAATAGACGTGGCAATACCACATCCTGCCTGTGCCTTGCCATAAATATTTTATGGCTCTTTCAGGTTAAGATGAAACACAAGCTCTTGGTGCTGACAGAATCTGACTTGTCTTTGCATCAGCAGCCGGATCACCCATCACTGTTGCTCTTTTGCCACCAAAACAAGGCAAGCATCTGCATGGATGCAGTATGTCTAAAAGTAACCTCCAAGTTAATGGTAATAACAGCCAAGCTGTTTAAAAATTGTCCACTAATAGAGTCTGGTCACAAGTGAAACACAACCTAGGGTCTCTGAGCTAGCCCGTCCTTGGTCTGCGCCACCAGCCAGAGGGGCTATTGAACAGTGCCTTGGAAAGGTGAAAGGGGGACCCAGTTTGGCTCCGTCAGCAGCTGATTTAACCAGAAGATGCACAAATAAACCTGTTTGTATCCTGACAGCCTCACACGAGCTATATAAACAGCCATTCTGCGTCATACAGCAAGCCACATGTCTTTTCACCTTCACAGATGACGTGCTTCCGATTTATGCTTATCCACACAAAATGGGGAAGTCTGTTACGGGAGGCTATGTCTATCGGGGTTGTGAGTCTCCAAACCTGAATGGCCTGTACATATTTGGTGATTTTATGAGCGGGTAAGTAGTTTTTTGGATGCTTGCTAAGCTGTACCCCAGCTGACATCGTCTTTTGATACTGCCTCTGGTTACCAGTGCTCTTGCAGGCTAAGCTTTGTTGGCTTTGCTGCTACATACTGGTTAGATGTCCTGTACAAAGCCCAGCTGCTTAATTCAAGGGACTCAACATGTTGTGCTTTGTGTAATCTTTATTCCATGTTGGGGCACGGCAATGCAATCTTCATCTTCCAGCAGCCACAGATGTTGCTGATGTTGCTGATGCACAAGATGTCAGTGCAAAGGAAAGGCTGGGGACAGGAGGTTTGATGAAAACCCTGAAAATCATATTAAAATAAAATCTAGTGTATCCTAAAGAAACCTCCTGTTTCGGCATTTCCAGACGCAGAAGATACTTTAAATTGCCCATTAGTGGATCTGATACAAACCCATGATGGAGCAGGAGACACTTATTTTCCTTCGCCTCCTCTCCCCAGCTCTATCTGTATCTCCTGCACTTCAGTGCAGATCCTCTCTCCCCCTTGCACCTCAGGTGATCCATGTGCCCCCTGCTTGAGTCAGATTCACTCGTTGGCAGTTCCTATTACAACTAATTTGAGTACAAAGCATCCTTTTAATTTTTCTGACTAATGTCCATAAGCCTTCGTCCTGGCTACTTGATGCAGGTTATTTTTGCCTTGCAGCCGGCTGATGTCTTTGAAGGAGAACCATGCTACTGGCGAGTGGCAGTACAGTGAGATCTGCATGGGCACGGGGCAGACCTGTGTGTTCCCGGGGCTTATCAATAACTATTATCAATATATCATCTCTTTTGCTGAAGACGAAGCAGGTGAGTGGTTAGTGTTATCTCACTTTGAGCCGTTTGCTTGTGGTTGCTCATCAGAGAGAGCTCCTTCTGGGAGGCAAGTGACAGAGCATGAGTCTGTTGGTCTTTAAAACACCTGTGGGTTTTGCTCCCAGCTTCACTCCAATACCAAACCACTAAATACCACCAAATAAAAATACCACCAAATGCTCTTCCTTGGGTACCTGGGGCCCACACAGTGACTGAACCAGCAACTGGGAGAGGTGATTCCCTGCCTGGCTCATGAGGTGCAATTTGTGCAAAGTGAGGGCAAATGCATGAAAACCTGACTTAGAAAAGAAGCTTCAGGCTTCACTGTGAAATGCCTTAGGCTCTCGGAGGCTGGTATGCTGCTACTGAAGTGAGAGGAGCGTGATGAAACAAGCTTGTGCTTTTGGCTAACAGAGAAATCTGTTAATATCATTAATGGATATTGGAAAGCCAGTAAAACAAACAACTAATTATGAACTTGCTTGTAGTGGCCTGGGATTTTTGCACATCTCAGTGTGGTGGAGTGACAGCTCTACTTCAGGTCCTGAATGAGGCATCCGCCAAAGGCTGCGGATCCAGGGATTTTTGCATCACTCTGGATTTTGCCTCATACCGGACTGGGAGATGTGGCCTCTGTGAAGTTTTGCATAGCTGTACTTTTAAGACTTGAGACATTTTACCTTCGAGGAAAGAATTCCTGTGACTTGCAAAGGAGGAGATGAAGAAGCTGGAGTGAACGTGTGGGCACAGGCACGTTCTTACTACCAGCCCCGAGGAGGGGCGAGCGGCTGCACCGTCCCTCCCTGCAGCCTCCTCCTGCCTTGGGGCCGTTCACACATGGTTTGCATAAATATAATAGAGGTGGCTGGAAACTCGGGCCAGGAGTCTGTTCTCGGGGAGTTTTTCAATTTATTTTAGTTTGTATTTATTTTATTTCAATGGGAAAAAATATTGATAGCAGTTCAGTGAGTTTTTTTTATCCTCAGTGACCAGTCTTGCACCTTTTTGCTGCATGGGGAGTCTGTTTTTTTGAGTTTATCATGCCATTTATTTTAATGCTTATAATTTCTGCCTGATAATTTCCAGGAAAAAAAGATGGAGAAGTGCACCTTCCTGCTCTGCGGGACACACTGCCAGGAATATTTCACATCACTATTTGGACTAAGGCTGCTCCTTTTTCTTTTCTGTTCTCCTTTGAGCCTCCTCCTACCCTCACTTAGCAGGTCTCAGTTGTCTCCTTAGCCCAACTCCCCCTTTTAAGAAAAATATTTCAATTTTTTTTTTCTTTCAGCCTGATCAGCTTCCCCGTCCTTTTTCATTGCACCGCACAAGCACTTGTGCTGGCAGATGTGGAAGGGGAGCGCCGGAGGGACTGCTTGTGCTGCCAGGAGCGTAATGCTGGCTGCCTCGGTGCAGCCGGAGCAGAGGGATGGAAACCCCGTTAAGAGAAAATGCCTCAGATAAATAGTGATGGAAATTGTCTGGCTGGAGGTCCAGCCCTGCCCGCATGGCTTGACAGAGCTGCGGCAAGTTCACATACCTTTTTTGTGAGATACATCTCACTTTTGAGCGAGCTAGGGAAGCAAAAGCAAAATATGTTTTTCTTCTGTAATTCACCCCAAAGCAGCACTTAATCAAAAGGAGCAGAAGACAGTTGTGAACAGTATTAATTTCCTTTCATTATGTTTTGACAAATGAAATTCAGGGTTTGATTATTTTGCATTAGTGAAGTTGAAGAACACAAATTTGACTGAGATGACAGCTAAAGTCTGGACAGTGGAAATTTGTCAAAATAGTGTTTCATAATAATATGTTACTGTGCACACTCACTGGGCATTTTTTATGCCATTGGAATGCATGTGGCCCTTCATTACTCAGATATATTCAAACCCAGATATAAACCCATGAGGTTTGCTTTGGAACCAGATATCCCTGCTACAGTCTCAGCTTTCTTGATGCTCTCTGGCCTGCAAGGCAGAGGTGGTGCCTTTGGGCTGAACAGTGCTGAAACTCCATGGAAAGTGCTCATGGCTGTGTGTGTTTGGTTCTCTTTCCTTAGGGGAGCTTTACTTCATGTCTACCGGCATACCAAGTGCTACTGCTCGTGCTGGAGTGGTTTACAAAGTGGTGGACACCTCTAGGTAGGAGATGTTCCTATGGCAAAGCTCAGCTTTGGTGCTCTGGGTCTGGGCTCAAATGTGGTAACTGATGTTGACCAAGGAAACAGCCCCTTTGTTGAGCCAGGTCTAGGAATGGCTGGAGCTGCTTGCTCTGCTCCCGAAATCATTAGCAGCTACATTGACCAATGTTCACCCACTGGTTCCTTGTGTGGCTTGTCAGCACTGTGCTGGCTGGGGGATTTGCTCCTGAAAGCTGGAGAAGTATCTTATGGGTGACTTGTCTTTCCCAGGCAAAGTTTCCTGAGGTTCCTGTCTGCAATGAAGCAGTTTTTGTCAAGGTTTTTTTCTCAGTCCTGCTCCATCACTCATGAGAGCCCCATGCCCACAGCTACATTTGAAGATGGCCCAACATGAGCTGTAGGGCTGTCTTGGGCAAAGCAGAAAGAATACTTAAAAAGTCAAAAAACTACACTTTCTTTCTGTGTTTTAGTTCATGTCCAAATCACTGTCCTCTCCAAGACTGTCGTTGCTCCCTCTGAATCCAATGTGCTTGTAACTGAGACTGGGTAAGGCAGAGAAAAATAGTGTTTTACAGGAAGACTTACAGCTTTTTTTTTTCCAGCTTCCTGTTTATTAAACATTATTATTACTGGCCAAATCCCAAAGTACTTTCATCTAGCTCTGTAGAATGAGACTTTGTAAGATTTTGCTGTTTTTTTTTAATGCATTAAAGTTACCACTTCTTTAGCCATCTGAGCATTGTTTTGAAGTCAACTCACTTTTCTATTTATATGTTGGAAGCAGCCCCAGAACTTCCTCATTTTTTCCTCTGACTTGTCCTTTGACAGTAGCATTTTCCATTACCTAATGCAGTGGAATAGTTCCTGTAAAATGTATGTCGAGGCCTGCATTGCACAATTTCTACAAAAATAAAAAAGCAGAAATGAAAAGACAATCATAAGCTCAAATTTAAAAAGAAGTCTCTTTAGTAAAGTGTGGAATATAGGAATAGAATAGGAAAAAGAACGAACTTCCAGGAAAATTTATAAAACTATGTAATGTCTCTATGAGAGTAGTCAAGAGAGAAGTTCTTTATTTGTGGACAGAAATGCAAGCTATGCAAATTGCAGAGGAGTTATATCTTCCAAATGCAAGTAGAATACCATTTTTGAAACAGTTTTGGAAATCTTGCAAAAAACCCTGCAGATGAGCAAGACAACCATGGCAAGAAAAAGCAATGAACTCATTGTAACTTCGCAGGAGCAAAATGTACTTCCATGACAGACAAATTTCATTCAAAGTAATGTGTCATTTTAAGAGAAAGCCTCTGTAGGAGGCACTTAGGGTAATAATGTCTTGTTTGAAGTAATGCATTTTTGGAACTACTAAAATGATACCTCACTGACAGTGACAAATCACAGAACTCTTTATTTTCCATAGAAAATTTTTCACCTACCTGTGATAAAAGGAGAAGTCTTTTCTTTTTCCTTTATGTTAGTAATATATGAATATTAGTGTGTCATAGTGCTACTCTTAAGACAGCTTGAAAACTTGTGCACATATGATTTTGGTATCATGTTCAATATATATTGTCTAGCTTTATGATCTCTATTTTCCACTTGATTAATCTCCTTCTGTATTCCTCGAGTCTGCCAATTTTTTTCTTTTTTTTTCTTAATGGATTCATCAATGGCAAGTGAAAACACAACCAGCAGACTCCATTGACTGGTGAAGATTTGGACTTTGATCAATGGAGATATGTGGTTGTTTAATTATGTTTTCTACTATAAGAGATTATTTGGATCATTTAAACAGACTTTTTTATTTATTCACTTCCCCCCAATGAGCATTAGTAGTTGAAAAGCAATTGGAAGCAAGGGCTCATGACGCCACTGGAAAGGAATTAATTGTTCGCCGTCTGTGTCCCTTTTTTTTTTTTCACAGGAGAGCACCACCAGGAAAATGCCGAGTTGAGCCTTTGCCAGTGAAAGTAAAAAGCAAGCTCATAAAGTTTGTGCCAAAGGAGAGTAAGTGTCGTTGTTGCTGCTTCTTATGTTAGTTGGCAGTGACTATGAACTCAGAGCTTGTACTATCTCTGGATGCTTGGAGACCACCCAGAATGTCAGTCTTCCAAGTAGCCTCTAAATTTTTGCCAGGTGTTTTGAAGATGAGGAGTTTGCTCACATAATCGAGGAGATAGGAGTGATTTCCTTGCTCCTGTCCAGATGAAACCTTCTCTGTATGCTCTGCACCTATACATTTTCACACTGCAGAGTAACAGGGCCCTTTTATTAGGCACAACATGGTCTCCTCGTAAGTGTTTTAGTACTGAGATCCTGTATGTGGCTTTTTAGTAATAAGTGATTTTTGCAGTGCCTTATGGAGTGTGGAGCACTTTGGGAGGTGAAGGATACGGGTTGGGAAATAGCTCATTGAGCAAGATGAGGTCTGAGTCACGGCTGTCTGTATGTAAGAGAAATGTGATGAGAAAATGATCCCAAAAGACTCAGCCTGATCAGCTATTCGAGTGAACTTTGGTTTTACTCAAACCCCCCAGGGAATTTTGATTGTTCCTTACTGAATGCAGTATTGTGCTGCTAAAACTAGAGTAGGAAAAGATGTCGATGAATCTGCAGCAAACCAAGTGCTCTTTATGCTAAAAGCAAAAAACTAAATGCCCTCATAGGTTCCCAAAATTAGATTTGGCAGTATCTTATTTCTTTTCTGCAATGTATTTTATTTACACACATTGTGCTCTAACAAGCTTGCAATTAAGTTAATATTACTGCAGGAACATTGAAGTTTGTATACTCTTATTTAATTTTTAATTATATTAATTGTGTTACGCTATATTTGAATCATTGACAGCTCCTACAGCTTTGACTTGGTGAAGGAATGAGGGCACTCAGCACCCTATGAGATTAGATTTCTTAAGGTGGAACAAACAAGGCTAATTATTAGCTGCTGACATGCGTTTGGAAGTACTTCATGTGCAAGCTCTGCACACAGTTTTCAAATGATATTAATTTTGCTCATGTTCAACTAGTTCTGTCTCTGTTTTTTGATGTGGATTACTTTCTATGCAAATCTCATAATTCAGTTTTTTAAAAACATGTAACCAAATCTTTTTATTTTTTACTTAGCTTATTTCTTTTAAAGGCATACTTTTATGGCAGATTAAAACCTAGAAACAGTGAGATAGATTCCTCCAAGCAGTTCAAGAACTAAATTCAAGTTTAGGTGAAAACCAAGCATGAACATTTTAGTTTAGAAGCATGAAAACAAGGATGTGTAGCAGTAAGTATTTTGTTGTTTTGGCTAGTGTTTATGGTGAATGATACATAATTACCAAAGCGTGCAACTTATGTTAATTGAATGAATGCATTTTTTAGAGATGTATTTAATAAATAGTTTGAGGATAAATAATATATAATAACAGCTCCCAGGTGACCATTAACTTTCCTGCAATCCTACATATCATTATATGATTTCCAGAATTGTTAACAGCTTTGGTAGGTCCATCAGTCAGAGATGTGCATGGATCAGACTTGCATGTGTTTTTCTTGTTTTCAAAACCTCAGCTCCAAGAGAAGGAAAGACTTTTCATACCATAAATAGAATATTTGAGAGGCTTTTCGATAAAGTAGGCTATCCCAAAGCTTTGCCTTTTGGGACAATGGATATTAAGTAATGTTAAGAAGGCTTTGGTTGTTACATTTTTTCCTGTCCCTAAACTGCAAAGCCAATGATGAATGAGAGTGAAGGATAAATCTAGGATATAATTCAAAAAGTCGTAGTGTCTTTGCAAATGCATATGGTACTGTCACAACTCAGCTGATTATGATTCGGAGCAATTCCAAATTACTTCTTTTTGACAAGCTAAAATACATTTTTAAGCTAAAAATAGAGTACCTGTGAACAATAAACAAGTGCAGTGACGCCTGGAAACTGTGACAGTAAAGAATTTTAAGCTCTTTAGAGTTCAAGGCTGTTTTCTTTTTTTTTTAAAGGAAGAAAAACACAAGCCCAAATCCTGTTTCATGTGTTGTCCTGGCAACCCCGTTCCTTTTGCATATTCCAGTCACCAGAGAGATCTGCTTTTTTGAATGCCCCTGATTCCAGCTACTCTGAATAGAGCATGCGGCACAGTGGGGAGGCCAGAGCTCTTGCGGCCCTTGCTGACAGCGCAGTCATTAGCAACGAGGAGAATAGCCAAAATCGTGCATGTCTCCAAAACGCCTTTGTGCACCTCTCCAAGGGGGAAGCTCCTCTTCTCCCAGTGAAGCTCTAGCCCTGACATGATAGCGTTGCTGCTGCCGTTCTGCCTGCAATTGAAATTTGGTAACCTTGGAAATTTGGTGATGTTTTGTCTTGGGGCAGGGGAAAGAGCCTTGCTCGCAGGCAGCAAGTGGTGCAGGCCTCCAAGGAGATGTGTTTAGCTGAGGAAACACTGGCTCACCAGGAACGTTGCCACTCCCCAACAGGCTCAAGGAAGCAAAGATGAGGGTCAAATAAGATGAAAGCTTTTAAGAGCTGTTTTTATAGGGTTATTTTCAGTTGTTGTCAGGAAATCGCCACCTCACGTTTGCCTCTGTCTCTCCCCCTGACAGAGCTGATAGTGGAAACCCCCACACTGAGTCTGGAGACCCCACCACCAACCACCACCACCACCACCA